TTAAAATTCCTATATTGCATCAGTTGTGGTGGTGACATAGGGATCTACTTGCTTGTTAAGAAGTGTGTAATATTATTACTTCACTTGGAAAATGGATGTTTTCAGAATGCACCATATCTTGATACTCATGGCGAAGTGGATTTGGGGCTAAAGTATGTATCTTATGGTGATTTATTGAAAAATCAGTCATATTGAAAATATTTACCACTACAATTGTTATATTAATATTTTTAGACGTGGCAGACCACAATTTCTTAATCAAAGGCGATATGATGAGATTCGCAAGTTATGGTTAACTCATGGTGTACCAATACATGTTGCAAGAAAGATTGAACAAACGTTTGATTTGGGAGGGTGGCCAACTATGTAAAAGACGAATGCTTGAAGTTTAATTTTGGAATTATTCACGTTTTAAAATTTCATCGTTTATTTATTTTGGCTTGTCAATATAATATAAATATTGTATGATATAAAACATCTAATTTACTGTATGTAAGGTTAGGATGTAAAGTGTTATCGTACTTGTAAAGAATTTCCTTTCTGTATATTTTCCTTTTATTAGTAATATATTTATCTTTACGTTTAGTAAATAGATATATATATATTCTTTGTCTACTATTTTTACAGTACCTCCCAAAACAGTATTGTCGCTCTCCACCACCAATGATATTGCTGGATTCGTCAATCAAATGGGTGATTTAGAACGTGATCTTTAAAATTTTTACCAATTAAATTGCGAATTCGTATTACGTTAATTGATTTATAGTATTTAATTAATTGTTACTTTTACGAAGCCCTTGCATTTTTTTCTTTAATATTACGATTTGAAAATTTGTATTTACGTTTAACAAGACTAGATTTAAAATTTTCAAAATACAGTAGTTTTTTAAAATTTTAAAATAAACCTTTTTACTAATAGCAATAACAAAGGTTTGTTATTGGTATAATAGTTTAATTATTTTACAAAATTTGTTTTTTGTTTTTTAATATCAGATATAGTGGTTTTAAAATTTATATATTTAACAAGATTTTTTAAAAACATTGTTAATCTTACAGGCTGTAAAATTCATAGCTTTGCATTTGATCAATCAAAATTGCAAAATTAGTATAATTTGCAATTTTTTGTATAACAAAAATAGTTATTTATAAAAAAATCAAAATTACTAAAACACAAAATATTTTATATTTTAAAATTTATTAAAAATATTACAAAATTTATATAAATCCAAATTATTAAAATTAGTTTTAATTTTTAAAATTACTTTTAATATTATCTTTTAAATTACTATATAATAAACAAATTTGTTTATATTTATTTTTTTTAATTTGGTGGTTCTGTTTTTATTATTTTATTAGAAGTATTAGAAAATTATTATTAACAGGTGAATAAAATTTTCTTTTTTTTTTTTTTTTTTTTTTATTAACTAACTTCTGTGCATAGAGATTTTTTATTCAAATATATTAGGCAGGAAGCTCACAGCAGAACTCTAATTACATTAGAGAGTACAACTAGCCACACATATGTCTTTTGAGCATCTATTTAATAGTCTGTATATAGATAATTGTATATTATAGGTTCTATACTAGCTGTTATATTTATAACCTAACTAGAGGATTACTTATTTAAACCCTCTGTAATTTATACAACCTTCTTGTGTTACTAGAATATCTTCATTACATTCGTTAGTCAAGAGTTCCGAATGCGTACCATAGTCTTAGAACTAATATATTCTCGAGGTATCATTATTAGAGCTCTCTGTACCTACAATCTGGTTAATTTAGATTTTCAATAACTTATACCAAGTTCGAGAATGAGTACTTGTGAGCTGAAGCCGTTATCATTACTTACTCCTGCCTTTGTAGAGTTTATCCAAATCTTAGTACCTACTTTATGGACTGTCTATCATTTCACCAGTTTCTAAACTTCTAATCCAGATAGCTTAGAAGAGTGAACCTCTTCATCTAATTCTTACCAGCAGCCTGGTTGGTATGGTGTCTTGTCAAACATCTCGATCCTGTTTAGTTTTTGATTCTTTGGTTAGTAATCCTTTATGTAGCGCCATTGAAGATCTGTGCTACCTCTTTACTAGGACTTGCTAAGCAGGATTTTGTGTGCTCTAGTTCTTGGTTTTACACAAATGTTTTATTCAGATTTTATGTAATTTTTGCATCACACTATAGTTTTACGTTCTTCTAGTACAAGCTGATATAACCAAAGCTACAGATCTGATGATCTATCAGATTACACACAGTTTGCTATAACACATTTTGTAAAATTTGAATTTTGTTAATAGTAGGATTCAAACTCTTATTCTGCTGTTTGGGGTGTAACAACTTACCAACTTTACTAAGTTGTCACACCTTAAAACTTTTTATATTTTAGTTCTATACTAATAATAAATTACTTAACTATATAATCTAAATTTAATATGCTTAGTAATAATTTGCTTTATATTAAATTTTTAATTTATTGAAAATTTGGTTTTTCTAATTATTAGTTAGAGCAGTTATATTCTTCATTAATAAGCCAAATAAATAAAATACAAAAAAAAAAAAACACAAAGGTATAAAAGTGTATAATAAAATATACAAGCAAGAAAAAAGAAATAAAAGAATATTGAAAATAAAAAAAATTTGT